TTAATTTTTCAGAGCATTTGTCACACAGGTTCATTTTGCATTGTCACTATAATCAAAACTATGACTGAACTCTCACTTAATTTACAATGTTTGTCTAATAATAAAATTTAATAGATAACGGCAAAAGACACACATACCAATTCATAGTGCTCAACGGTGATTTAATATCATTAAAGAATTACAGGACAATCGGGGTAACGACATGGTGTTTTTAAAAACAGTAATTAACTTCACAAACTGACCAATTACTCCAAGATCTCAAACCGTAAAGCCATAATTACCTCCAAATCAGCTTAAACAGATATATGAGAACGGTTGATTTATCAAGTTTTATGCGAGGGTTTATTTTTTAGAAATGAATTTTAGGAAAATTGCAGTCAACTTTACATATATTTTATTTTTTTCCGACTAACCGATTACAGATTTTCTAACCGATTACCATCGTTCCGACCGAGTAATCGGTTAACCGGTTACAAATTGCCATCCCTAATATATATATATATATGTATATATATGTATATATACACCCATAAGATAAACCTATGCTGTATCCACGGGTATGTGCTTTATCAATAGCATGTCTTCCAGTTTCGACACAATCCCTAGGCCTCGCTTCAAGATGTAAACTTATCAAAACTTCTAATTGAAAGTTCTGTGTTATCAAATGAATGCTGATGAGCAAAAATGTTCATTAAAAATGAGAAAAAAACTAATTACACTTCAATGAAATGTCAAAATTTATCAATGTACTGGCTACAGCGATAAAGGATGTTACCCCCCCCCCCCACACACACACACACACACACACAATTGCTCTCATAGGAAATGTTAGATCTAGCAGTTAAGTTGTAGTTGGAATATATTGGCAAGCCTCGTGAATATACACCATTCAACTCATTGGATAAAGCAAATATCAAATCACACAATATAGATATCCTCTATATATCCATGTCCACATCATTTGAAGGTTAACACTAAAATGGATTTTATTTTCCAGGCTAAGAATAACACTGTTTTGCCTCTGTCACCAAAGACTGAAATGTTTACTTCAAAAGACCTTCACCTGCAGTTATTAATATTTCAACAAAGTTCGTGGCCCAAAAAAGCTTGCAGTTGAAAAGGAAAGGAAAGATAAAAAAGATTCACTATGTCATAGAAGCTAGCTTTACTAGAACTGTGTAGAAACTTTTGTCAAGGTTAAAGAAATCATTTTGTGTAAACAGAACTAACAGTTATTGCTCAAACTTTTTAACAGGGATAATTTAAACTGGTATTTGTTATCTTTATATGTTGTACATTTTGATACTATTTCCAATTAGATTATGCAAAAATATGTCATTTGTATCAGATAATGCTTATAAGTGTTAATGTGAGTTTAAACAGAGGAAATTCGGACTGCAATTTTTGGGGAATTAGATTATGAAAATACACTACTTTTATATAGGATTTAGATCCTTTTGTCCTATATTCTAATAAATTGTACATTCAATGGTTAAAAGTTCCTTGTATAGATATTAAATGGGAATTTATTGTTCATTTTTTCTGCCATCATTCAGAATAAAAAAGTAATGTTTAAAGGAAAATAGGAAATCGGGGTGATAATTATCTTAATTATTAAAGACCGATTCATAATTTTCTTTATATGCATGATTTTTAGTTTTATTTCAAGATAGTAATATATTTAAAATCAAATAAAATATTTTTTTGTTTGATTTTTTTATACATCAACACAGATAAATGTGCTTTAGGAATCAGTTTTTACAAAAAGTTAGAGAAAATTCAGGTTACCACATCTTTTTTTCCGATTCATGTGCATACCAATTTTTTTCCTCTGTTACATAGCTATATATCACTTCTTTAAAATGAAGATGAAAAATAAAATATTCAATCATACCAAGTGTGATTTTATAACCTTTTTTGTAGTCAAGGGCAAGGAAATATAGTCAAATTTAAAGAGGGCAGAGGAAATTCAGACTGTGATAGTGAGCTATATAAATATGATAGCTATGGAAAAAAGCTTAGATCAATAAAAGGTGTCCACAGACCTTTTATATATTTGCAAATCTACTTCTTCTTATATTTTGTTTCCATTTTATTGCTTTTATTACAGATAATCATGCATCAGAAGTAATTTTTTAAAAGAGGTCAGAGAAAATTCAGATTACCATATCTTTTTTTCTGACTCATGTACATACCATTTTTTTTCCTCTGTTAATTAGCTCTATAACACTACTTTAAAATGGAATTTAGAAATTAAGTTTTTAATTATAGCCAATGTGATTTTATATCCTTTTTTGAAGTCAAGGTCAAGGAAAAATAGTTAATTTTCAAGAGGACAGAGGAAATTCAGACTGTGATTGTCTGCTCTCTGAATATGACACCTATAAAAAAAGCTTTACTACATTATGCTCATTCATAAGTCTTTAAGATAACTGCAAAAAATTAAATTCTAATCATAATTTATGAGATTTTTTTTATCTTTATTTAATTACAGTAGACTTTTCTTCATAGCTTTAATCTTTTTAAACAAGGGCAAGTTCAGAGGCTGTTGCCATGGAAACCAACTCATGTACATATATCAGAATTGTTGTTATTTGAACAAGGGACTTGTCCTCTATGCAACGGTACCTATTTTTTAACTTTCCAATTACTTTTATTTCAGGTTCACATATCCTTAATGACCATGTTAGCAAATATAACCTATTATTTGGTCGTATCTTGACTGACATATTTCATACCAATTCTTAAGTGTTTCTTTTTTATACTAAATTGACTACGGAATATTCCGTCTACCTCATCAATAGGGTCACGGCGGGTGTGATCGGTCAGCAGGGGATGCTTACTACTCCTGGGCACTTGATTCCATCTCTTGAATTTCCAGGGTTTCGTGTTTTCTGCTTTTTCACAGATTTGTATTTTTAAAGTTTTTGTTTTAGATCGATAGCTGTTATCTTCAACTTCTCATCGCAACTCATTCGCAAAGCATGGCGTAATATTTTTCCAGTTTTTAATAAGCTTAAAAGGAAGTCGAAAAAAGTGTTGATAAGGAGATTAAACCAGTTATATCATTCATAAGATCGTGGTGAAAACCTAATTACTTCTGGTGATTTAATATAAATAGTAACAAGAATTAATAAAGAGCGCAGGCTTTCTTAAACCCCGGAAAAGGCGAGGGAATAGAAAACACGCATGTACATGTATAATAAGCTTTATATATATTTTATCCATTCATAAAAATAGAGATCTTACTTGTATCATATACTTTATGACTTCAAAATACATGGCCGTTGCCCCCACCCCCCCCCCCCCCAATAATTTTCCGATATATAGAATATTAAGGAACACATAGCTACTGTATTCTAACAAAGACTAATGACCTTTTTTATGAATTGTCAAGAAATTTTTGCCCCCCCCCCCCCAACTAAACATATTTGGCTGTGCCCACTAATGAAATTGCTTCCAACGGGCCTGAATTACATATATCCTGGTAGTTTTTTTTCTATCTGCACATTTTTATCTTTTCAGACTGTGGAATCCCAATTATACAGAATATCACGTGGTATGTACAGGACTGGAATGGGATAGGAATATATAAATATCTTCACTTGAAATGCTCCGATTCGTACCTACAGCAAGGATCCGGAAGGTTTTTATGTCTTAAGAATGGGACCTGGAAATCGGACTTGGCTTGTCTAGGTTTGAAAAGAAAATTATACCTTTATTACTGAATACACTGTTAGAACATATGGATAAAAGTTCCATTAATAACATTTAAAGTTTTGATACATGGATAAGGAAACCATATGTTAGATTAACAGTTCTTTAATGTTTTGATTTTTGACGTACCACATTGACGTACCACAGAATACCCTTAGAAAAACGGAACTTTTTGCAATATATATGAATAATATTCAGTACTTTTTAAATGTATCCGACCCATATTAAGATTTTCCTGACCTTAAATAGCAATCATATATAAGATACTCTGAAAATAATTCAAAGCGATTTAAAGTAGAAAAGGATTTACCAAGAGAATTTTTCAAACATGCCATTATCTAAACAGTAACTAATCCATGAAGTTTGCATCGAGGTCTATGGGGACAAACAAGTTTTTTAAAATGAAAATTTAAATACGAAAAATTTCAATAAATTCTCTGGTGGAAATGTTTTTTTTTTCATCTGTAGGAACAGAAAAAAGATTAAAAACTATTTTTATAACAGATAGAATTTTTAGAATCGATTTTTATTGATTAAAAGCAAATAGGGATAGCACTTCAGGGACAGGACAAGGTCATAAATTAGGCTCTTATATACTGATACCAAAATATGAAAATAATGTCTAAAAATACGAAGTATTCAGCCCATACATGTACAAGATCGTTGTGCATTCAATTTTATTGAATCTGAGGCTATGATGGGTCGGGTAACTGAATTTAACTAAACAGTATTTTTATCTCCCCACGCCTCTTATAAATTAAACATAAAACTGTGTAAACATGTAAATTGACAACAAATCTATCGGAATCAAACCATTTTGTTATGCATTTCTTACATATCAATGTTCGAAACAAAATAGTATATATCTGAAGATAAAGTTGGAAAACCTGTAAAGGTATTGGTATAAGAGAAGGTATATTAATAAATATTTTGTCAGTATTCAGCTCTCATTTATCACTTGTCAAATTAATTCAAAAGAATTTCCTTCGCTCTTCAGTTAGGTACATAAATTTTACATTTAATTATCTTTATGCTAATTTGTCACATTTGTTTTATTGTTATGAGTATGTCCCTTGAGCTTCTTTTAAAGCATATCAATTAAACCGTCAATAAGTTTTATGCCCGGCTCGAAGTTTGAAACATTTGTCATATTAGTTTAAAGTAGAAGTGCATGTCCTGTGGGTTTCTGTACACTGTATATAGATTATGCATTTCAATTTTTAATGGGAACCAGATTACACTTACCGGTAGGGGATTAGTATTGCTAATGGAATACTCTAAGAATGCTTGTTATTAGTTTGAAGAAAGATGGCGAGTTGCAAAGATATTTTTAAAAAATCAACATTTCTGGTTTCAAATATGTTATATTTTTCAATTAACAAAGATTCTACCTATAGTTTAATACATTGCGATACTAGTAATTAAACTTTGACTAAATTAATGTTTCAAATGCTGAAAGGGTACACTTATTGGTCCAGAAATTTAATTGTCTTTAAAACCATCTGATCAGTACGAAACAAGTGGTGTTCGTTATATCAACTCAGCATTAAAATGTGTTTGATTGAATGCCATTTAGCAGACAATAGGTATAATATAAATAATGATATAAATACTATTTTTCCACACAGTATTTACTTCTATTTCACAATATAACCATCATAGCCCTATTTATTTTTCAAAAACCTGTTTATCACGATCTTAATAGTCATGACTGTGCCTGCGTGGGTGGTATTTAGGTCAGTTAAAGTCAATCCTATTTTTTTTCCCAAATTGCTTTGTTCTGTTTCAGATCTTCCTATAGATTGTAAGGACCTTCTTCAAAAAGGTCACACTACTTCCGGTGTGTATGAGCTTTATCCCTATGACACCAGCTCCCGTCCTGTCAGAGCTTACTGCGATATGGAGACAATGGACGGAGGATGGACGGTATCTAGTTTGTTTTTTAAGGATCTTATAATTTACTATTTTAATATTTGTTTATTTTGAATGATACATGTATATGGAGATAACGAACCGTTTTCAAGCTCAAAAGTCCACTGACCTCTAAAAACATCAAAGTAGGATCAGGTGCCATGGAGGAGTAAACATCCCCTGTCGACCGGTCACATATATTGTGTGCCCATTGTCATGATCGAGCAAACGGAAAAAATCCGTAGACAATCCAGTGCTTAAATAATGACCTAAGAATTAGTCAGAAAGGTAACATACGAAGTCTAACTCCATATGTTAATCATACAAATTTTTATCAAAATAATGATTGAATAAATATATTTATTTGGAAGGCTATCCAAAAACGTGTCAATGGATCAGTGAGTTTTTACAGGACGTGGGCGGAATATAAGAATGGATTTGGTGACCCGGAGCAGGACTTTTGGATTGGTAATCATTAATTTAAGGTTAGACGACACTTTCCTCAATGATATATAAATTTCTTCAAGAATTTGTTATTAAAGTATTGCTACTTTACAAAACTTAGTCACCAAAAATTGGGGTACCTTACAAAACATTTATGCAACATACGAGAGGATTGGGTTTCCTAATGGAAATTAATTGAATTGCAATATCAAAATATAATTTTTGGCGTATTTCTTTTTAAGAAATCAAAAAATGATGATCATTTAAATTTTTTTTTTAATATACGAAGAGATATAAAACAGATATTCGAGGAAACTGTCGTCTGACCTTTATTTAAAAAAAAAGATTTTTTGACCCTATCCATTTTATAACCAGTCAAACGCAAATCAAAGAGGTTTTTCAAAATTGTATAGTATGTGGTGGGCGGTATTCAATGTAAGTGGGTTATTTACGAAAATGAAAAGGGAATTTTGCACACCGACATGACAGAACTAGAATAGTTTCCCTTGATGATAACAATAAACCAAAATGTCTACTGCTAAAGGTTTATGAATATTTTATAGATTAAAAAGCTTAAGTCAATATAATTCGATTCTTCCTCACGGTGTCATTTATATACGTTTAAAAATTGGATTGCATTACACTGATGTAATGATTTCAAACTACTTAATCTAGGAAATGACGTAATCCATCAGTTAACAAAGGGAAACGACTCATCCCTCTACGTTTCCATCACACTGGTGAACGGCAGAAGGCTGTACGAGTTTTACGATCAGTTCTTAGTTTCCTGTGAAATGGAGAACTATCAACTCTCTCTGGCGGGGAACGCATCCGGAACCCTAGGTATATGGAAAAGTAGAATTTGTACCTCTTCTAACAAAAATGTACTATAGTTAACTATAGTAAAAACTTTGATACTTTGATTTACTATGAATCTTTACTCTGGAACTTTTTTTGAGATTTCAAAGCTTAAAATCTCTAAAATTCGAAAACAGTAATGTAAAATTTGGAAATAATCTGTGAATATACAAATAATATTTCAATTTAATATAAAAGAAAATGTGCATGTATGAATTGAAAAACGAAAAATATAACGATCTGAAATCCATAGTAAAAATACTTTAATTTACTATAGTGAAAAAACTTGGATACTATAGTTAACTATAGTAAACTATAGTAAACTTAGTTAACTATAGTAAACTATAGTTTACTATAGTAAACTAAACTATAGTTTACTATAGTGAACTATAGTTTACTTTAGTACTTTTTTGTTAGGGTCACATTATAAAGGAGAGAAAGATAGAGAGTATAAAATCAAACTTAGGATTAATCGTTTTAAACAACTAATTTTTTTGCTAGCAATAGAATATATCAGTCTGAACTGATCCCAATGCTGCATCATTGGGTTTATAAGGAGAGCAAGCAAATACGCACACAAAGTTAGCACAGTATTTTGTCAGATGGTTTATCTGAACTATGTCTGCTTATAAGGGCAACGTGACATTGCTTTTTCTATCTATCGAAAGAAAAAGCGAACTGTTTCTAGTTTAACACTTTGACTAAATTCTATGAACTATCCATAAAAGTTTTTATTATACCTCTACTCGTATTACTCTATATGAAATTAATACCATAAAAACTGTCTATTTCCCCGAGAAGATACTATTTCCCCCATCTGAGGACTACTCCCTGAAAAATCAGAGCTACTCCCTGGGACTACTCACTCATGAATATTTATTATTAATTTTAACCAATTAAAATGAACAGTGGGCGGAGCGTTCAAAGAATCTCGAGTCCTTGACGTTATGTTATTAGCAACGTAACTATGACGTCAAAACATTTCGACATGCGATGTCAAAATCATACAGGAATTTCTAAGCAAAAAGAGGACAACGATAATCCTTCGAAATGTCAGTGAAATTATTATTTTTTTAAAAATAATTTTATTTTTTCCGTATTGATGAATTATATATTAAACGAAATTGGAATCAAATGCATTTTGAATTACTTATATAAATACCTCTATAGTTTTAAAAATGTCCAAGTCTCTAGTTAATGAATCTCCTTTGTTTGTTTCGGTATAATAAAACAGTTATGGAATGGGTACTCTGGAAATAGCAAATTTATGGTTCCCCTCGGCAGGAAACTATTTCCCTCGGCGGCTTTGCCGCCTCTGGAAATAGTTTCCTCCCTCGGGGAACCATAAATTTGCTATTTCCCTCATACCCATTCCATAACTGTATACTATTAAATTTACTAGTAAAGCAGTTACTGAGAAAAACTTTAAAATAATGCAAGTCGTCTGTTTCAATGGGAACTATAAAAAACAAAAAGCACATGCAGAGTTTGTGATTACATTTTTTATGAAGTTTCATTAAGAATCCTCTACCCTTCTGCGAGAAAATAAGCGAACAAAATTTTATATCTAGCAATTGTAATATGTCACTCCGTTCTGGGCAATATATTAAATCATACTCCGTGGCAATATGTTAGAGTATACTGGCCACTAAGATGCAGTCATTTTTTTATTATCTTTTTCGAGTCAGTATTTAAAAATCCTTTAATTAACAAATTAAGAAAATTAACAAAACTACGGAGAACTAGTTGAAACTGCCCAGAACGTATCACATAAACTTAGAAATCAGAACATATCACGCCGGTTGCAATGACTGTCTTTAAGACAAAATTATCTTGTAAAAAAACATTCTGATTGTACACACAAGTACTCTGAAGTTGACATTAAAAAGATGCTTGAGTTTCTGATTGACAATATCTATGTGGTTTTTGGAGACCAGGTCTTCCAACAATCTATTGGAATTTCTATGGGTACCAATTGCGCCCCGTTATTAGCAGACCTTTATTGTATTCATATGAAGCAGAAGTTGTCCAAAATCTTGTACGTGAAAAGAAGAAAACACTTGCTGTGGCGTTCAACTCGACATTTAGATATATCGACGAAGTATTGTCAATCAACAATGGCTATTTTCATTCTTATGTCGATACGATATATCCTGGTGAACTTGAGATAAAAGATACCACAGAGTCTGACACATCTGTTTCATATTTGGATATTTTACTTGAAAAAGACGTTAATGGTAATCTAACAACCAAGCTTTATGATAAACGTGATGACTTTAACTTTTCAATCGTCAACTTCCCTTACTTATGCAGCAATATACCTTCATCACCTGCATACGGGTTATATATCTCTCAGTTGATTCGATACGCAAGAGCATGCTCTACGTATGTACAATTTCTAAAACGAGGTAAATTATTGACAAATAAGTTGATGAAACAAGAATATCAGCTGTCTCGTTTAAAGTCATCATTTCGTAAGTTCTTTGGTCGATACAATGACCTTGTCAGCAAATACAATTTATCATTGAGCCAAATGCTGACTGACGTTTTTCATACTAATTGTTAGGCCATTATTAACACTGAATTGCCGACGGATTTTTCCGTTATTTCCCGATCATGACAAGGAGCACACGGCGGGTGTGACCGGTCGGCAGGGGAAGCTCACTCCTCCATGGCACCTGATCCCACCTCTGATGTTTGGAGGTCCGTGTTTGCTCTGCTCCTATTTTGTATTGTATAATGGACCTTTGAGCTTGAATACTGTTCGTTATTTCCATATATTTCATATACAAATCCCTGATGTATACAAGAAATCGGTAAACCTTACACAGCCGTCACGGTAGCTCAGTCGCTAGAGCGCTCGCTCCATGATTGGATGGTCGTGTATTCGAATCACGGCCGCGAATGACCTAGGTCAATAAAAAATAGCTATAGGTAGCAACTGTTCTTCGCGAAAGCGCTCGGCACTTTGAAGTGAAAGTTGCGGGCCTTTCGGATAAGAACTTAAAAACTGAGGGTGCCTCGGTTTTTAAGGTCACCGTAGGCGTTGACACGATAAAAACGCTCATTACTCAATGGCCCTGAGTGCGAAGTAAAGGTCTAAATTTGAAGCCCTTCGCCGATATATGGTGACGTTTCTATATTCGTGAAAAATCCTCGAGCGAGACGTAAAACAACACACAATCAATCAATCAATTATACCTTACAGATCTTGTTAACTAAATCCATATTCTTCAAGCTCGGGTTCCGTAAAGATGTACATTGCTATAAGTTTAGTGCACCTATTTATCTTAGAATCACATCACATTGCCTATCTATCTGTATGTATGACTATATCCATCGAGACGCAATAGTTTTTATCATAATTCTTTCAATTTCGTGCAGACAAAATAGCCATTTACACAAAAACACCTTTTAAATCTTGAGGTTCGTCTTTCCGTAAACACTTTTATTGTCACTCTAAGACGCAGAAAGTTCTCACATAACGTTTTCAAAGTTTGTTTATAATTTTTGTAAAATTAAAAGAGAACGACACCAATTCATTGTACAGTAATATCGCTTTGTCTGTCTGATTGTCTGTCTGTATGTGTATCTATCGTGATACAAGTATTCGTTGTTAAAAAAAACAAATAACTTTTATACAGAAGGTGTAAGAGTCGTATATTTTTTTTCTTAAAAGAAATTTAATACAATATACGGTCGCCTGCGTGGCGCAGTGGTTAGAGCGTCTGCTCTAGAGTCGCAAAGTAAGGAGTTGATCTTTACGTCGCGGGTTCGAATCCCACTGTGGGACGTGGAGACCGGTCCTTCGGATGAGACCGTATAAACCGAGGTCCCGTGTCACAGTAGGTGCTGGCACGAGAAAGATCCCTCACTGCTCAATGGCCGTAAGTGCCGAGTATAGGTCAAAATTTGTAGCTCTCCACCGGCAAGTGGTGGCGTCTCCATATGAGTGAAAAATTCTCGAGAGGGATGTTAAACAACATACAAACAAACAAAAATACAATATACAAAAGGTTTAAGGATAATTATTGTTTATAGTTACAATTTATTTCATACAAGAGGTAGACATTTTATCATGCTTACAACTGAAAAAAAGTGTTGCCGATCCTTTAAGGGCACAGTGCAAATAGTAGCTATATGAAGCAAAAGGATGATTGCACTTAACACCGCTTTTTGGGTTTTTTTTTGGGGGGGGGGGGGGTCGCTCCTGTTGCTTTTATATCTTAACCTGATTTCACTTTTGTATATTTATTTAAGAAGCTTGTCAATTTGGAACCAAATTTAAATGTTAAAATGATTTTAGACTGTAAAACAATAAAATAATTCTAATGGTTTTTATCCTTGCTGCTTCCAAATATAGAGAATTGTCACTTACTGCCCTTGATTGAATATTATGTATGCATGAGAGGTGGAGCTAACATTGCAAGAATGGATCTAATATTAGACTATATAAATAACAGTGGCATGTATTCAAAAAAAAAAAAAAAAACGTGATCACTTTTTCCATCTCCCCCTCTGTTCTGTATGACACAAGTACACTATTTACACGTTTCAAAACGAAATAACAATAGGAACACGTCCATGTGAGTAAAGATTTTAAATCAATGTCAGACAATTTATAGTGTTCGAACACAATGTCCTAGTTAGCAAACAATGCTACCTTACAAGTCACGTGACGGAATTTAGTATTCACAGATTTACCTGAGGTAAGAAATCACGTGGTGTATTATAATATTCAACAAGTCACAACCTTTACTTACAACACAGAGAGCGAATGTAAGAAGAAGCAGTTTTTTTTTTCTCTTTTAAACTATGAGCGCATGTTTGTCTATTAATCTCCTTTTGATACAACATTAGTAATGTAAATATACAACCACTGTTACATTTGAGGTATATTTTTTACTTTGGGGATGTAATTTAGTACCTTACCGCAGACAATGACTAGGACAGTGGCGGGTTTTATGATGAGGAAACACTGCTGTCGTTGCAGTTTCTACTATCACTGTGCCCTCCTTAGTGTTCTTAAAAAATA